GCTCGGCTGCGCATCGGCTCGGTGGCCGAGTGGGGTTCGGGCACTGGCTGGGCTCCAGACCCCCGGCGTGGCCTCGAGAGCGGGGGGCTGGGGACGCCGACGCGCCCGCACGCACGTGGCCACGCAAGGGGTGCGGGGCTGGAAGACGCCGTCGGGATGCGCCGAGCCAGGCTCGGGCACGCTCCACACTGGCGCCACCGAGGCCCACCGACCAAGGAAGGAGCTCGACGCAGGCCGGCTCTGCCCCCCGCCTCCTTCTCCTCCTCCCTGGCTCTGGTCTGGCGGCGCGCGCGGCTCGCGTCCGTCAGGCTCAGCGTGACGGGAGCCTCGGGCGTCTCCGCAAGCTCGGAGGCCTCCGCGGCGGACGGGCGGCCCAAGGGCCGCGGGGGGGGGCTTGACAAGCAGGTGCACACCGCCCTCCTCCTGCTCCTGCTCCTCCTGCTCCTCCTCATCAGCACCCTCTTCCAATGCCCCTCCTGCTGCTGCCACCACGCCCTCTGCTCAACGCAGACCTCCTAGCCACGGCTGTAGAGATTCGAGCACTGGATGGGCAAACTCGCGGTGGATGGTTAGAGGGAGAGCTCCCGCCCCCCCATAAACTGTAACACCCTCCCCAGACACATCCCAGCAAGAGACGCCGGCGGCCGACTATCTCGCACCGATGCCGATCGCCACCCCATACTCCTGCCCGGGCCTCCTCCTACCCCAAGAGGATGGGCTTGGAGGAGGGACCGAGGCGGGCGGGGAGGGGGGGGTCGGGAGCGGCGAGGGGGCGCGGGAAGGGAGCAGGGCGAGGCAACGGCGAGGAGGGGGAGGGCACGGGGAGGGAAGCGGATGGTGGGGGAAGAGAAGTCAGGAAGCCACAACCCATCGACTTGAAAACTCCAGCTCGGACGGGCCAAACATCGAATCGGAAAGACTGGGGCCAACGCGTAACAAATCGAACCAACATCGGAATCCCGCCCAACCCTCGGCGGGTCCGCGTAAAAAATCCGCCGACCATGTGTTGGCGTGTGTGAGGGGCTTGTCCGTTCCCGTCGTTCGTTCGTCGTTGTCGTCTCCGTCGTCTCCTGTCCCTGCGCCCACCCTTTCCCTGGCCCAGTCGTCTCCTGTCCCTGCGCTCCCCCTTTCCCTTGGCCCGTCTCCCGTCCACCCCTTTCTCCTCTTCCCTGGGCCCGTCGCCGCTCCCCCCCGCTTTTCCAGGGCCGCCCCCTAAAGAGCAACGCTGTCATTGAGTCAATGGGAAGCCCCCTCCCTTTGATCCCTCCCCTGCGGGGGAGGTCCCGCGTCAGATACTGATATTGCCGGATTTGACTTATGGCAGTTATGCTGATCTTGCGGTATTGCAACTCAAGTTGAACTTACACAACTGCAGTTCAAAACTTACGCAACTGCATGTTAAATACCTCATCTGCCCGATCTTCACAACGTAAGACGTGACAGATAGCGAATTTAGTTCGAAACTTATATAGAAAACCAAGACTGCACTATGTTTCAGCGGTTGAAGTTGTAGAAATTAGGTTGGGGAATGGCTGATTTAAGGTTTTAGAGTGGTTGGAAGTGTAGAAGTTAGATGTTCGCTGTTTTTCTCAGCGCGTCTTTATATATTGGTTGGCGTTATGCCTGCCCCCCATCCAGCGTTTTTGTTTTATGTTTAGATATGTTTTATGTTTAGATATGTTTAGATATGTATATACACACACATACAACAAAACGGGCGCAGCCCGTAAGTTGATTCCCGCGAGGTTAGACGGACAGACGAAACTGAGCCACCAGGCCGTTAGATGGCAGTTCTATGTCCGCGGGTGAGGATATTTCGGTGGCAGTTTTAAGCCAGCGGGTGAGGATCTGTTGGTGGCAGTTCTAAGCCAGCGTGTGAGGATATTTCGGTGGCAGTTGTACTTCTGCGGGTGAGGATATTTCGGTAGCGGTTTTGACCAGCGGGTAAGGATATCTCGGTGGCAATGTATTCTGGTGGCAGTTTTTACATCCGCGGGTGAGAATATTTCGGCGGCAGTCTTGAGCCAGCGGATCAGGATGTTTCGACGGCAGTTTTAAGCCAGCAGGTGAATATATTTCGGAGGCACTTTTAAGCCAGCGGGTGATGATATTTCGGCGGCAGCTTGAAGCCAGCGGGTCAGGATGCTTCGAAAGTCGTTTTAAGCCAGCAGGTGAGGATATATCGGTGGCACTTTTAAGCCAGCGGGTGAGGATACTTCGGTGGCAGTTTTAAGCTAGCGGGTAAGGATTGTTCGGTGGCAGTTCTATGCCAGCGGGTGAGGATATGTTGGTGGCAGCTTTCAGCCAGCGTGTGGGATATGTCGGTGGCAGTTTTCGGTGGCAGTTTTGAACCAGCGGGTGAGGATATGTCGGCGGCAGTTGCAAGCCAGCCGGTGAGGAAACTTCGGCGGCGGTTCTCAGCCAGCGGGCGAGGATATTTTAGTGGTAGTTTCAAGCCTGCGGGCGATAATATTCCAGAGGCAGTCTAAAGCCCGCGGGGGAGGAGGAGGAGAAAGGAGGAACCGGGAAGAGCTGTGCTCGGCGCGGGCATCCAGCCGCCACGCGATGCTTGGTAGGCCCAGCCGACGGCCACGCATCCAGCGCGGTGCTGCGCCCCCATATATGGTCGCCCCTCGGCGCGAGGCTGGCGGGGGGCTGGTGCTCAATGTGGAGCGCAACGCATTTTTTAATGTAATGAGTTGAGAAATTTGCACGTTCGAGGTTAACGAATTAAGGTCTGAATGGTTGAAGTTAGGTTAGAGTGATTGAAGATATTTCGTTATAAAAAAAACCATAGGAAACAAGAAACACTGCAAACTAACTTTCGCAACTCTAACATACATACCGCAAGAGCAACATAACTTCCACAGGTAAGATCTGACGATATCAGCGCGACTCTTCCCCGGGGGCCCTGGGGCCCACACGAAACTCATGAGAGCCGAGACACCCCACGCCCCAGCCCCAGTCCAGCCCCAGCCCCGGCTCCGCTTCCAGCCCCGGCCCTGGCCTCGGCCTCGGACGGTCCCGGCCTCAGTCCCCACCCCGCCCTGGCCCTGGCCCTGGTCCCGGCTGGCCCCGGCCCCCGCGCAGCCGGCCCCAGCCCCGGACCCACTCCCGGCCTCGGCCCAGGCCCTGGCCCTTGGCCCCGGCCCTGGCCGGCCCCGGCCAGGCCCTGGCCCTGGCCCCGCGGCCCAGCCCCGGCCCTGGCCGTGGCCCTGGCTCCGGGGCCTCTCCAGCCCCCTGGCCCAGGTCCCGGCCCCACCGCCCTCCAAATCTATAACTACACCGCCGTGGCCTCCCAGATGCCCAAGATGCCAAACCTAGCCTCAAAACAGCGAACGAAGCCTGGAAGTCGCCCCGGGAGGGCTCCAAGACGCCCCGAATGGTCCTGATAGGCAAGCAGCGTCGGCGTCAACATCGTCGACATCCTCGCCTAATCTCCTTCCTTTTCCTCCTCATGATCGCCACGCTCTACTCGCCCCTGCCCTTCCTTCGTGCCCCCCCGCGACCCTGCTCGCCTCATTCTCCTCCTATTCATTCTCCCCCTGTGCTCCTACTCCTCCTCATCCGCCTCTTCCTCCTGTCCCCCTCTTCATATTCCTCCCCATGCTCCGCGCCCTCCTCCCCAACTTCAGGGTCGGCGGCACCAGTCGTAAGGCCTTCACAATCGAGAACGGTGCGCCGCAAACGAAATCGCAATCGCAAGCCGACCCCCGCAGACAACAAAATGGCTCGAACCGGCTAGCCAGCCAGCCTAGATTTGCCCGAACGGCTACAGTGAACACCTGGCCCCCCCACCAGCGGCGGCTGCGGCAAGACGCCAGCAGTCCGTCAGCAGTAGCAGCGGCACCGAAGCTCCGGCAACGCCACCATCAAAACCAGCAACACCACCTGCATCAAAGCATCCGGGGCCCCGAAGTGCCCCCCGCGGATCCGCTGCAGGCCCAAAAGGGCAGCACAGCAAGAGCAGCAGTTTGTTTACAGCCAGTCGTGCGAAGCCCCGGAATAGGAACCCGAATCAATAGGAGTCGAGAACATCGGATCGGAACCGATACTGTAACCAACACTGGAATCTGAGACCGACATCGAAATCGGAAAACAGAAGGGGCTCGGACACAAAACGAGGTCGGGAGAGGAACATCGGAATCAGATCGGATCGCAAGCGGGCACTCTTCTTCCTCCTCCTCCTCCTCCTCCTCCTCCTCCTCTTCCGCCTCCTCCTCCTCATCCTTATCATCCTTCTCCTCCTCCTCCTCCCCCTCCTCCTCTTCCTCCTCTTCCTCCTTATCCTCATCCTCTTCATCCTCTTCTTCCTCCTCCTGTCTACTCCACCTCCTCCGTTTCATGCTCCTCCCCTTCCTCCACCTCCTTTTCCTCCTCCTCGTCCTCCTCGTTCTTTCTCTCATGATCCTCATCCTCCTTCTTATGATACAGTTCCTCCCTCCTCCTGCCTCGACCTACCCCGCTCCCCAGCTCCATTTTCAACATGGACTTCCCCCTTGTTCCTCATGCTCCCTCCTCTTCCTCCATCATCGTCCAGCCTACTCCTCCTCCAGATTCCTTCTCTCACTCCTTTTCTTCCGCCTCCCTCCTCGCTTTTCCCTCCCCTTCCCTCCTTCGCCGTCCATCGTTTCTCCTCCCTCCTCCTCCATCGCCTCCTCCCCCCCTATCGTTCCTCGCATCCCTCCTCCGCCCTCCTCCTCCTCCTCCTCCTCCTGCTCCTCCTTTTCCTCCCTCTCCTCCTCCTCCTCCTCCTCCTCCTCCTCGCCCATGCCTCCGTGCCCGATCTCATCCTTCGCATTCTCCTCCTCCTCCTCCATTTCCTCGTCTTTCTCCTCCTCCTCCTCCTCCTCCTCCTCCTCCTCCTCGTCCTCCTCCTCCTCGGGGGAGTGGGGTGGGGAGGCCCGCAGCCTGGTACACCACGAGCGGCGCGTCCACCGAGTGCCCAGCGTCGTTCCGGGCCCAGACGCGGATCCGGTAGTGAATCCCCAACTGCAGGCCTAGACGAGTGAGGCAGGACGAGGAATAGGAGAAGGAGGAGGAAGCAGGTGGGAAGGGGAGGGGGGGAGGAGGAGGAGGAGGACGAGGAGAAGGAGGAGGACGAGGAGCAGGACGAGGAGGAGGAGGAGGAGGAGGAGGGGGAGGAGGAGGAGGAGGAGGAGGAAGAGGAGGAGGAGGAAGAGGAGGAGGACGACGAGGAGGAGAAGGTAGGAGGAGGAGGAGGAGGAATCAGGAATGAGAACCAGAACGATTACGAAGCAACATGAAAAAGACCTTACCTCGAGCCTGCAGCCTTCGGTGGGGGTCCACGAGAGAACCACACTCAGATGACGTAGCACACGGTTGCTTCATCTTCCCCGTGAATTTAAACATGGGGTGTCTTTTTTTATATTAAACATGGGCAAGCGTGCGTCACATACGTTTGTGGGATACCCGTCACCTCGACCATAGTTTGCGCAATGCGTACATCAATACCAAAAATTCGCCTGTTTTGCTCAACGGGTATCCAGTCCCATGGTGAAAGTTGTGGCATACCCCTCCGCCAGAGACGATACCGACGCATGAATTCACAACGGTGCGCCACTTCATCCCTCGATAATGTCGCGTGGTTTGGACTGGGAACTGTTGGTTTTCATTCCACAAATTGGTTTTCAAACGTATCCAGCACCAGATATATGTCGCTTGTTTCGTCGTTCGCATCGATGAGCAAACAGATTGGTGTGTCAATGCTCGACATTCGACCGTCAATTGTGGCCGAGGCTTTCTTGATTGATTCACCTTCACTAGATACGCGACTCACCTCACAAGAAGGGGCACCGTCTCGACCCTTTTCACCACTGCTGGCATTATCTCGAGCGTTGGCATGTTACCTGCATGCTCTGCGATCTTTCCCTGAGTACAACCTTGGGAACTCCGGCAACATGCTCGACGCATTCAGATTTAGGCACATCAACCTACAAAGTTGCCCCTTGCATTGCTACGATAGGTTCCACTGGGACGGGGTGCTGAAATATTGATTGCCCCGCACTGCTGCGCGCGCACGTGCGGGACTCGATGTCACCAAGCCGGCGGATTATATCCAACTGATCATTCGGTATCGCACCAAACTTTCCAACGATCACTTCTGAGAACTTCCTGCTTTTCCCGTTGCGGGCCCAGTCTGTATTGCCATCGGCTTTCCTATAGAGCGCGCGTGTGCTGCTCGACGTTTCAGTCCATTACATTTTGGCCCATGCCATGGCGCAGATGCAACGAGCGAAGGGGGTGTTTCTGCCTGTTTGGAGCTCGAGCCTGACTCGAGTCTCACTCGAGCCTCACTTGAGCCGAGTGAGCGCCGATTGAGCCTGCATTCCGGAGCCTCGCTCGAGCCTGCCAAGAAGGCGCCTTGCATCCAATTCTACTCGGGCGGGCCACCGGGCCCCTGCCCACGCCGAACTCGAGCATCAACCACCGAGGGCTGCGGGGCCCGCGCTCTCGCCAGCGCCAGCCCGATGGGAGGCGCGCGCATGGAAGGGGGCGAGACTGCTGAGGCCCGTCGACGGGGGGCCTTCCGGGACCGACCACTGCCGGGCGGCCGCGGGCCCGTCAGAGCGCCCAGCCCAAGGCTCTTTCGCCTAGTCGGGGAGGGGGTCGAAGGCGCCAGAGGCGCCCTTCCTTTTCATGAGGCGGCGTCGTAACAACAAACTTGCAGCGCGATTAATTGGCGCGCCTGCAGTCGGGGCAGGCGGACAAGCCCCCGCCGAGCCTCGACCGCTTTCTCCAAAAAATTACCCGAATAACGCGCGCAATGCAAGCGAATGCTCACCGCGGCACGGCTCGCCCCCCTAGCCTCCTCGGTCGGGCAGCGGGGACGAGGTGGCCAGCGACGCGCTAGAGGGCCACCTCTGGCCCCCAGGCAAACGAAAGCGCCGCGGCTGCAGGGCCCGCCGAGGCCAGGCGGCGACGCGCCACCCTGCCCGGGTCCGGGGCGGGAGGCCTGTCTGAATTCTCCGTTCTCGGGGGCCGGCGGCGGCGGGGGCTGGGGAAGGACCGCCCGCGCCCGCAAGCAACTGGCCTCGGGCCCCTCTTCGATGAGCTGCCCCGGCTGATCCTCCAGCCCCAGGCTCGGCGAGCCCGCCAGCTGGCCACTTCGCCGGTCCGGGTCGCGCCCCTGGTCGTCGTGGATATCGGCGCGTCGCAGTGGGAACTCGCCCAGGTCGATGTTCCTGAGCGCTTCCACCCCCGCGCTGTCTCGGACCCGGTGGCAACCTAGCACCGCCTCGCGCAAGCCAGCAGAGTGCCCCGCAAGCACGGCGACGCAGAGGCGCCCAAATCAAGACGCGGATGTCATGATGTCAGGCGGACAGGATCGCGCCGAATGGGCGCCTGCCTTGGCCCGTTGATCAGCCATGCGGTCGCAGCGCGCTGGCCAAGATCCGCCTCGGCCCTACCAATTAGACTCCCTCGAGCTCGTCGCCGAGCCCTGCCCAGAGGCGCGATCGCTGCCCGCTGGGCCCAGCCGCCCCGAATACAACCATAGCGGAACCGTAGCCAAGCAGCCAACTTGCAGCTTGCATCATCCACCAGCTGTCCTGCCTCTTCGCGCTTCGACCGCGCAGCCCCCCCCGTCTCCGACGTAATATCTGGCGCCCATCCTTGCGAGGTAAGAGCGCGCGTTTTGGGCCGGGCCCATTGGGGCCCGACGCCGGTGCTTGCCCCGGACGTCCGACCAATAACAGGGCCAATCCACGACTGGCTTCCATAGCCCCCCCCCCCTCCGATTCCGAAAGCTGCGACCTTGACGGGGAAACCCTTGCAAGCCGAAGGGTCACCCGAACCCGAGCATGGCCAGTTTGCTCAGACATTATGGCGAGCGCCTTCGCGCTTCAAACACCGTTCCCGCCGCATCATGGACGAGGCACGGGCCCTCTCCAGCTATGCCCCAATCGATGCCCCAGAGGGCGCGGCCAAGCACCGCGCCGAGACCGGACCCTAAACAATCCACAGCGGGCGCACTGCCCGCATCACCGCCACCCCCTTGCGGGGGCAGGCGCGAGCAAACCCATCCAAGCAACGGTCAAGGCCAGACCAAGTCGGCGCAGGCGACGATGGTCGTCTAGGCGGCGATGACCAATGGGTCGCGACGCAAGCCCTTCCATTGCGAAGGGATGGCAAGACCCATCGCTGCTCCTGCAGGCAATCCGCCTCGGGCCACCACCGCTCCCACTCCAAACGGCGAGGGCGCCTAAGACGGCCGCGCGGCGCCTCCATTTTCGACTAACTCCGCGCGGTTTTTGCGGAGGGGGTCAAGGCTGGAAGAGGCGGGCGCGCTTGCGGCCCTGGATCCCCGCCGCGGCCCCCATGTGAGACTGGCGCCCGCCTGCGCGACCTCGCTGCGGCATCGCCTCCAAGAGCGCGGCGGCAGCGCGCAAAGTCCGCGAACTTCAAATGCCTGGTGAGCGCAGGGGCTTCATGCTGAGCGTCGCCGGGGATGCCAGCGCCTCGTCTTTCTACTTGCTGACTGGCAGGTTGACCTCCGCCACCCTCTCGTTGAAAACTCGGCTGGCAGATCCCAACCGTTGCGCCGCCCGCTCGAGAGCGCCGACCGCGCGACCAGATGCGTCATCCGCGACGTTCAGGACGCACGCTGCCGGGGCCGCCTGCGCCGCTGCACCCAGCGCGAAGAGCAGATGGAACTTCGCCTGCGCGGCGGCGCAGGGGCAGCCAGCCACCGCGGCGCCGCGAGCCACGACGGCGCCGCTGAGAATAGCGCCGGAGCGGGCCCTCGCCAGCGCCGGCATGTGCAGCAGAGCGTCTCGAGCAAGGCCTGGTCGCAATCCCAGGCGCCCGCCGCAATTCGCAGCCGCCCATGTCCGACGCGCTCGCCCTTCTCGGCCAAGTCCTCGTAGAACAAGACCGCCACCGCGTTGACGTCCCTGGCGCTCGCCGCGAACACGCCGCGCAGCCGAGCTGCCTCGGCGCAGCCCCTGCATCCAAGACCACGTTCTCGCCCGAGGACGAACGGGGCCAGCGGGCATCTGCCCCGCGCTCTTCTTCGGGAGAGCCGCGAACATGATGCCCCGCAGCTCGCCGCAGGCCGGGGTCGCCCCTCGCGCGCGGACCGCGCCCGCCGGCCGCCGGGGCATCTCGTCGCCAACCTCCGGCAGGAGTCCGCGCAGACAAATGCCCCGGCCAGGCCCCGCGCTATCGCCTGTTATGTTCGATGGCAATAGGCGGGGGCTTCCAGGCGGCCCGCCATCTCAGCGGACTTTTGCGGAACCTCTCGGCGGGGGCGGCGCCGGGGCAAGGGTCGGTCCTCTCGGGCTCGACTGAGCGCTGTTTGGCCAACCGACGCCGCGGGCTGCCCTACGCCCAGCTCGAGAATGGCTGCAGGCCTCGCGTGGGCCGTGAACCTTCGCGGCGACCTCGCGAGACACCGAGCCCGACCTCCTGCGAGCCTCCACGGTGAACTCCTCCCACCGCCTCTTGCTCTCCTGGATGAACGCCTCCCTCTCCTGCTCGAAGACGGCCTGCGTCGTGCTCGAGAGCTTGGGTCCCGCGGCTGCCTGACACGCGGAACGCCCCCCTGCGCTTCCCACGTGGCTGGGCTCAAGCACGGGGGCCCCTTCTGCCGTGGACCTCGGAAGGAAGCGCTTCGGCGTGGACCTGAGCCTCTGGCACGATATGCAAAGTTATGATGTCCTTTGCTCGCCCTTTGTGGCCCCTGGCCCTCTCGATGGGAAGGCCCTCAAACGGCCTCCTCCTCGATGGGGGGACCCTTGAAAGCGATGAGCGTGTCCTCCGCTAGCGCGAACCAATGCTTCGCCGCGCCCGCGCAGTCCACCGGGCTGCTGGCGGGCCACAGGCACGACTCCACTGGCTGGCCGCGCCTGCAGACGGCCTCGTCGTCGCGCTTCTTCTCCAAGGCGAAGCCTTGCGGGGCGCGTCGGGCCGGGGCCGCGGGCTTCCGCCAGCGCGCATCCAGGACCAAGATAACTGCGTCATGCGGCCTTTGGGGCGC